GGTTTTTTGTCACTACTATTTGAAATTAACAATCTTCATTTATTTGTGTACTGTCTCCCCCTTCTACTATATACTTCTCACTAAGTCCTTTTCTTTTGTGTTCTGAGCCCTACCCTCCACACCTACAAAACTGCCCAGTAGAGAGTAAATGTTCAATAAATGTTTAATGAGTGAATGCAAGGTTAACACTGATGACTGTAACATACCAAAGAAAGAAAGTCTCAATAGGTAGCACGGAGTGGTCCTGGGCAAGGGGAAGCAGGTGGCTGGCATGGTGGGAAGCTGAGAAAAGGGGTGCCAGATCAGTAATCACAAGCTGTATGTCTCCAGCAATGTTCAAAGAGGATGCATTAGCCCACATCAGAAATAAACTAGCCACTAGCCAGATGACAAGTGTGCCCTCAAGTGGAACTGTACTTGTCCGTCAGGGTATCCTTCCCCAGGGCTCCACCCCCACCTGCTATGCGCTCCGTAATCACCAAGCAACACTCTGATCATCACTTTACTTCTGCCACAGATATGGACATAAGGAAGAAAACATGCAAACTAAAAAACACAAACATCGAGTTGGCTTGAAAGTTTTAGTTCTCACTTAATTGCCTAAACTTTTGGGGTGCCTGGGTGGCTCAGCCGGTTAAGCGTCTACCTCCTGGTTTTTGCTCAGGTCATGATCTCTGGGTAGTGAGATAAAGCTCTGCCTCAGGCTCCATGTTCAGTGGGGAGTCTGCTGGTGATTCTCTCCCTCTGCCCCTCCCGCCTGTCTAAAATAATAAATCTTTTTAAAAAATGCTTAAACTTTGGGTGCCTGGGTGGCTCAGTGGGTTAAGCATCTGCCTTCAGTTCAGGTCATGATCTCAGAGTCCCAGGATTGAGCCCTTCATCAGGCTCCCTGCTGGGCAGGGAATCTGCCTCTCCCTCCACCCATCACCGTGCTCATACTCTCTCTTTCTCACCCTGTCTCTCATTCAAATAAATAAAATCTTAAAAAATAAATAAAATGCCTAAGCTTTTTAAAAACTCTTTCTCATGACTTTGGTTATTGAGGAACCAGCTTTCAAAGCTGTTCTTCCTCTGGACATACTGAAAATTGCACCTGTGGGACTTTATGGTGACAACCTAATGTTCTGCTCTTTACATAAGGCTTCAGTGTAGGAAGTCAGTTGACTTCACCCTGTATCTTTGCACTCAACATGCAATACTCAATATTAGCTATTTCTGCAACTCAAATTTTGTGACCTTGGATATGCTTCTTAATCTTTATAGGTCTCTGATTCTTTTCTGTAAAATGAGAGCTGTGAAACAAGATGATTCTGACAGATCCCCAAAATAGGTGACAATATGTGAAAATTATATGAAATTATGTGAAAATAAACATCTAGCAATATATAGTAGGGATCTAAAAAAATCCAATAAATTCTATCTGTTTGCCTTATGGAAAACATACCTTGCCTCATGATCTTATTAATCTGAATTCAGGACCAGAAAACTGGTGAAAAAGTAAAAAGAACACAGGATTTACACAAAGAAGGAGGAAGCAAAGGAGGGAAGGAAAGAAAACAGCTCCTTACAAGGGAAGTCAGTAACTCAACACATTTGTTACAAAAGAACAATTAGCCTCAGTGTGGGGTTTATTTGTAAAATATGAAACTTTTCTAAGAATAAGGTATTGCTAGACACCTTCCACCCAACTCCATCAAGCCACCTCTAAAACCTAAAGTGTTGGCAACTGAACCAGAATAAGATGTGCTGTGGTGCTACACAAAACCATTCCAAAACATGCTGCAGCTTCCATAGACCCATTCATTGCCAATTGTTACAAAGTTTGCCTTCTACAGAAGCGAAGCAGGAGTTACAAACACAGAAGAGGAAGCATCTCAGAAGAAACAGCCGCTGATAAAAATACAGCACACTCATACAGAGGAACATCCTGTCAAATTCAATGTTTGAGCCATAGATTTTGGGTGAGTTTGCATCGTTCACACATACACATTAGAGGCTTTCCATCCCGTAGGTCTATATCTAACACAAACACAAAATTTTACTTGTGCATAAAATCCATTCACTCTAAGCATTTCTTGAAACCACAGCAATATGGAATTGTTGGAGAGGGTAAAAGAGAGCAATTTTCCATAAACCTGTTTTTAAACGTCATGTAACATGCAAACAGCATCGATACCAAGGACATGTGAACACAGCATCAGCAATGACAGCATCTGCAGTTTCTTCTCCACATCAAATCCCTAGTGTTCCATCATCTCAGACAGCTCAAGGGCCAAATGGACCACGGCTGCCCAAAAGCATTAGCTTCAAAAAATGGGATTCGAAATCTGTATTCCCAAAGCAAAGAGACAGACTCAGTTTAGAAGTTACAAAGAATGTGGCAATAAAATACAGGAAGAAAAATGTAAGCTTTTAAGTTCTATTTATTACCTCTGCAGTCTACCTGTTCAAATGTAAGTCAAGTCAGGCAGCATTCCAGTATAATGTGTCAAAGGAAACAGCAGAAGCACTTGCCTGCCCTGTAGTAGGTTGTAGTGCGTTGATTTGCTGTCTACTCAGACTGTTCCGGGTTTGAATCAGTACAAGCTATTTATTCAGAGTTCCCAATACATCATCTACATAATAGTTTCATAAGATATAACTCTGCACCAGGGTTAACAAACATTATAAAACTGCCTTTTGGTAAAATCCTAAGTTGTACTGAAGGACTGAAAAGTAGCATGCCATCAGTTTAAAGCGTTGGAAGAAGGCTCAGAAACCACAAAAATCTAGCACCTACAGGTAAGGACAGTGAGAATCAGAAAGCAACACCTGGCAGGAGACCCAAGAACAGAGTACAGTCTGAACTCGTTACAAGACTGTGGACATGATGCTGGGTCTCACTCCCGACAGTGTTCGTGAATGGAGACAAACACCTCACCGCCTGCAATAAGAACCACCAGGTCCCAAAGTCATCTCCCCTCAAACGAACTCACATAGATCTATGACCGTGCACTCCCATCCCTCGGCTACGCTGGTAGGGATCTCAAATGCTCCAGGAGTGTCCCAGCTGTCCAATCCTATTCATTAATTTCTGAAAGAGCAGCCTTAGGTTTCATGTCCGTGGTTGACAGAAGAGGTTTTCAACACATTTAAATATGCTTGTGGCTTCACTATTTCTTACTCAGAAAACTCAGTCAAGGGTGATATTAATAAATATGCTTACAAGTGAAAATAAATGACTAAGTACCTGCCAATATCCGTAAAACGCCGGGATAAATTCTGACGTGGATACCCACTGAAAGCAAACACAAACTTTTAACTTTAATTCGGTAACGATAAAAATGGTAAAGAAGTTCACAAACACTAGAGAACTTAAGAAATACAGATTGATCCAGCCTTCCTCAACTGCTCAAGCAGTTGTGCTCAACCACACCCCAGGCACACGGATGCTCACACACGTCACGCTCATTTACTCAAAGCCTTTTTCAGGTTTTTAAGATAATGGGTAACTAAAGCAACATGAACATCCTAAATATGGATGCTTTTTGATTATTTCATTTCCTCCTTAAACTTACAATGCTTGTGTTTGTATGGGTGAAAATTTCATCCCAGTAATACAATATTAGCCTAAAATTTCTTACAGATGCTAAGGAAAATTTCAAGCAGAGAGACATTACTATTGAAAAAGATGCTTTTTAGAGCAGGTATGTACCTAATTTAATTCTTCGTAGTAAAAACAGTTCAAATAATAATAAGGTATATAGATCAGTAAGTGCAAAAGAAGGTAAGGATTTTAAAGTAAACTACAGTTAATACCAAGAACCCACAACTAGCAGTCAGGCCCCAAATCCTGTTCTTGAAGTAAGACCATGAGTCCTTGACCAATACAAGGTTATCTAATTTTATACTATCATTAAAAAAAGAAAATCAAACAAGGTAGGTCCTATTAGCAATGACCTTTTCTAGCTCTCCAGGCAGCCAATGACCCACTGACATCAATGTCTAAGGTGACAGCCAAACAGCACAATTAGAAGGACTCCAGCTGCATAAGCAAAAGCTTTTCTTTGCAACCCTTCCTATAGCAAATAAAAATGGCAGACCTAGCAAGACTCAGAGAACCCTTGGTACTATGGTTTAAATGACAGAAAAACACAAAAGGAGTATCTGGAGTATAGACAGCACTCTTTTTGTTTTTCACTTTTATATTTTAGGGCGCTGTTTTGGGGAAGGGGATACAATGCTGCTTTACAAAGGACATAGAAGTCCCTTGTTTGAGCTACCAACCTCTTAGCCACACAGAAAAATGTCAGTCATCCATTTGTTAGCACCAAAATCTCCTTCGACTGCTTACAATATGCACCACACATTTTAAGGGGCTGTTGAACCAGAAAAACAAAGGAAGCCCTTGAAAAAGAAACCGAGCTCCCTAGCGCTGCCCCTGCCCTTATCACTGTGCCTGCATGCCTGCCGGTAAAGCACGGTCACATTGTTTCCACATGCTCAGGGCCCTCGAAACTTGTGCAAAAGCATTGCAAAATAAAACTGCATCAACATCACATTTCAAAACATGAGCTAGTAATGGTAGGTCAGCCATGTGGGCTAGAATAATCCTTAATTAAACCATAACCTACAAATGTCCCTGACCTGAGACATTTTCTTATTGAACAAACAGGCATAAGAACACGCTGTGGCCATGGGCGTATTTCAAAAAGAATATGGGTATAACTCACTCTCAGACACCATTAAAAATGATTGCCTCTTTGCCCCTTTCAGAGGTCATAACATAATTTCACAGGCACAAAGCATTTAAAATTATTAAAACGCAATTCTTTCATTTTTTCCATCAACATAAAATTGTACAGGCACAATTAAGCTGCTCAGATTTAATACAAGAGAAGTGTGTAGTGCTGGAGATGTGTTCCAGAAGAGCTTCTAGCTCCGGTTCCTGGGACCACATGGAGATAGTGCCCCACACCAAATATAGTACAAACTGGATACACAGAACTGGGGTTACTTACCTTATAAAAGCTGGATGTTTTCCTCTTGATTAGAAGTCACAAATGGTTTAAGTAAAACTCCCTTCATTTGTTCTTCCAGCGAGTCAAATCTAGCTTCCCATTAACCCAGTCCATTGCAGATAATTTCACACAGCACACGCTTCCCAGTTCCCAGCCCAGCAAGGATAATCACATTCCAGCGGGGAGTGAACAGATGGTGGATTCCATGGTAACCAGCCCTCCTAAGGCGATTGGTAGAAGTGTGTGACTACAGCTTATTGGGTAACAATCACTGTCTTTGTGCTCCAGCCTTGCAAATCCTAAAGGAAGCAACATATAGCCACTCACATGCGCAAGGGCTTGCCTAGCAGGTGTTTGGCTATTTAAACAAGGCAATGCAGGCCAATTAAAAGCTTTTCAGCGAATCTACACTTGGTGGTTCAAAGTCCTAACGTTTAAGATAGTGTTCAGTGCTAATCCAGAGAGAAAGGTCACAAGCAGCTTAACTTGACAAACAGAAAATAACACTTGAAAGTTAACTTGAAAATTTAAGATAAAGCAGTCTAGAAATCTAAGCTGCATCAGCAAATTGTTTTCTGATTTGCAATCCACATGAGAAGTGCAACTGGTTTTGTATTTAGATTTTTTTAAATTTTATTATGTATTTAGATTTATTTTAAACAATATAACTTTTAAATTTGCTAAACTACCTTAGTTTGAAAATAAGTTTTCAAAACCAATTGTTTTATAAATGTGCACCTAATCATTTAAAAAAATAACTTGTATACATTCATTTTTACTGTGTTTGTGGATTTTGGGGGTTGAGGGGAAGGCTATTAAATTTAAACTTTTCATTAGAGCCTTACCCAATTATGGGATTGAAATCTCTTCCTTAGGTGCTTCCCACAGGTTTAATTTGTTTCTGCAATCATGAAAGTTAAATGCTGGGTCAGCAGGAAAACAGCTCTCCCCTCAACCCGTGGAGCTCAAGAAATCAGAGGATTAAGTCCTTGAAGGAGCAAAATGGCTGAAAACCAAGTACAACTTCACACCAAAACCAACTATCAGAAGTAATGCACAAATCTAAAAGAGATAAACTCCAGATACTCCAAAAAAATCCATCAGAAATAAATTTTTAAAATAGCAAAGAAATAATTAGGATAAGCCTAAGGTGAAGACAAAATAAAACTTGTACGTTATGACTAGAAGTAGGTATTAATTGCCTTCACAGTTACTTCCTATCTTAAATTGAGGAGTTCTTTTCCTGGCAAGAACATAAATGAGACAAATATTGAAAGGAAAGAGACTAAATTATTTGCAGATGATGATTCTATCTTGAAAAAAAAAAAAAAACCAAACAGAGAAATCAAGTAGGCTATTATTTATAGTACCAGAAGCTCAGTGAACTAGCCAATAAATCAATACAATTCCTTTAGAAGAGCAAAAACTATCAGAATACCAACGAAAGGGGAATTACTAACAAGGGCAAGGCAAAGTATACAATTCATGGGAATAATAGCAAGAAATTTGTGTGAACTACCCGGGGGAAAAAGAATGAATTCTTACCAGAAGGGGTAAAGGAAAATGAAATGAAGACACCTAGTATTTTGCTGAATAGAAAGATCTATTTGAAAGACGCCAAGTTTTCCCAAATTACCGTAGAGTGTAGTAGTGAAATTTCCAATATACTTTAGAAAACAAATTTAACAAAGTGACTCTAAAGTTTATTTGGATTTCAAAAAGATGAAATTACCAAAGAAAATTCTATATGAGATAAGTAATAATAGGTAAAATAATACCAAGTTTTTAAAACATGCTATAAATACAATATACTGATACCTCCCATATTAAAACTCCAGGAAAAACCTCTTTCTCATTGAATTCCTACATCTAATTACCTATTCTGCCTGGATGTTTAATAAATATCTCAAACATAAGTCCCCCAAACTCAACTTCTGATTGTCTCCCCAAACCTGCTCCTCCTGTATCCTTCCTTGTTTTTGGAAATGGCAACTCCACTCCTGTAATCATTCAGTCTAACACCCAAGAGCCCACCTCCCAGCCTTCGCTGACACATTCTCATCCAACCTGACAGCTCATGTCATGAGCTATTTCTTCCAATCTGGCCACTTCTTACCACCTGGTCTCCTTAATAACTTCCTAATTAAACTCTGCTTCCATCTCACCTCCTACAGGCTACAAACCTAAACAGATAATGCCAATTCTCTTCTCAAAACTGCCACTCCCATTGCACTAATCCAAGTCCCATTCTGTGTGACGGCTTAGAAAGCCCTTGATAACCTGGGCCCCATCCCATTAACTCACTCAACTCCTTTCCTACAACCTTCTCTCCTGCCTTCCCCAAGCTCTCCAAGCAGTCTGACATTTTTGTCCTCTCCTCAGCACTTTCTCAGTAACTGGGACAGCGATGGTGTTTCCCACAGGCCAGTTATCTGTACACATCCCCCCAAATCCCACCAGACTGTGAGAACCTCAAGGTCAGGGACTTCCACTATGGACTCTGTGCTCCTAGTGCCAAGCAAAGTTCCTTGTGTATCATGAGCACTTATTAAATCTGCAATGAGTAACAGCTTGCTGCAGAATTTTTTATTCCAGTGTACCTTTAGAGACAACCTAACATTCTAATAATAAGTGAATGATTACACAAGAATGTGTGCTTGATGGAATATCATGTGGTTATTAAAAATAAAGTCACAAAAATGAGGTGGCATAAGGAGAATGATGATGGCATATTAATAACAATATACAATGAGCCCTTAGTATGTGCCAGGCATTAGAATATATCCAGTTTACACTTTACAAATATTTTATTCAAACTTCACAGGGACTTTAAAGTAGATCTTATTATCCTCGTTTTTTAGGTGTGGAAACACAGACTCAGAAATTCAGCTCAGTGTCCTATGTCTCAAGGCTAAAATTTGAACCTCAGTTGTGGCCAAAGCTTGGGTCTAAGTCATTATTGCTACACTCCCTCCTGGAAGTAAAAGGGGAAAAATAAATACATCACTGAACACTTGCTATGAACAACTACATAAAAAGGAAAAGATTCTTAGGAACCAAAGCCTAGGCTTACCTATCTCAAAATTATAAGAGCAGTTGTGAGGAAGAAATATTGGTGATATCGTCCTTTCCTCTATTTTCCAAAATTCCTAATATCAGTAAAGATTATTTCTAAGAATAATATTTATTCCTACTACACATCCTCTTCACTATTCATTCTCTTTTTTTTCCTATGTTCGTGGGTGGATCTACTAAGTAGCAAGCCACAATAAAAAAATCTAAAAATAACTTGATTCACAATTTCTTGAGAATTGATTCTATGGGAATTCATGAGAAAGAAAAAACAGTGACAGATTCAAGAAAGACATGTCAACAACAGTGTCCTCTTCAGAACTATAGTCAACTCTGGGCACTCTGACATCGTCTACAACAACAGCACCTCAACCACATTGCCCAGAATCTAGTAACAGGACCTCCAAATGTAAGCTGTAGAGCAGGTGACAGAGCCAACAATCCTCAGAAAGGTTCTCAAGATGAAAAAGTGTTGGAAGCAGAGAGGCCTAATAATTTATCTTCTTCAGATGCTGGGTGGGCAACATCATGCCTAGAATCTTTAGAGTAGCTACTATGCCAGCTAAAGTAGGAAATAACCTTGTGAGCATAGTCTATCTCCCTTCACTATTGAATGTACTTGGTTTCATTCCCCCTTAGTCAACCTTTATCTCTTTCTTAGCATGAAGTTTTATCCAGGAAGATACTCTTAAGTCAGAGGTCCCCAACCTCTTTGAAATTATGGAGCCCTTAGCCTCTCAAGGCACTCCAGGCCAACAGACATCCCTAACAGGCTCATTTACTTAGTGTTTAGGTATAAACAACTTAATAACTATTTTTGACCCAGCAACTTAGCATCATTTGAAAATGTAATATAAAACATTCAGAAAAAATAAATTTTTCTAAGATTTTACTTATTTGAGAGAGAGAGAGAGAGAGAAAGAACATGCGCACATGTGCCACTGAGGAGAGAAGCAGAGAGGGAGGGAGAGGGACAAGAACACTCTACGTTGACATGGACCCCGACTTGGGGTTGATTCCAAGACCCCAACACCATGACTGAGACTCTGACGGAGTGAAACCAAGAGTCAGACACTCAACTGACTAAGCCACCCAGGTACCCTGAAAAATACTCTTACTCCACTCTTAAATCACTACATCTACTTACTAATGGCATGTGGGTACCTGTTGGGTTTGGGTCCTGCAAAACCTCTCACACCACAGGATCTAATAGTAGACCTTGCCATCCTCATTCCTGCTTCACATGGATTTTTACCAGGTATTTGCTTGTTATCACAATAACCTGCCAACACCCCAGCTCTGCAAAACTAGGATGTCTCCTAAAGAAATACAGTTCAATCTAATACTAAAGCAGAACCACCTAGAGCTAATAGTTCCCACAGTATTTGATAGATGTCACTGTGCTTGTCTTAAAATGTTAAAATATCCTGCAGGCAGCACACTCCAGTGAGCTGGGGGGGCTATGCTCCCCAAGCACATAAGCATAGGGACATATTTTGGCAATGATGTTTTTAAGCTCTTAGATTTTGCAGTGCCCCATGACAGAAAGACTCCCTAATTAGAAATCCAGAAGCCTGGACTGCCTGCTTAGCCACTCATGACATAGGCACGCCATTTTGTCCTCTCTATCCTGTGCGCTTCCATCACAAGACAAGGGAGCTAGGTTAGATCATATCCAACATTCCTTCTCTTCTGAAACAGTAAGAATGAATGTTGGAGGAAGAGGGTTCTTCCTCATTCTTACTAGTTTCAGAGGAAAAGGAGAAAGGGCTAGAGCAGCCAGAATAAGTATTTATTTTCCAGAAGGAAACCCAGACTAAAATTCACGTGTGCCATGATAAAGTTTTGAATGTGAGGTGTTACTTAAGTACCAGGTAAGGTGGTAAGTGGATCCCACGTAGGGCACACTCTGAGTGACCCTGTCACCAGTGCCACGCTTTCGGCACTTTCTACTCTTAATGAAACTCCTTCTGGACAAAAGGTTTGTATGATTAAGTGACTGGATATTGTCAGGGTTGGAGTCTGACAATGAAACAGATTCAAATGACCTATCCTGATTGGAAATCAAATTTATCATCTCTGCCTAAGCAGCACCAAATTAAACAACAGTGTTAACCAGGTACAGACACTGAAACACAAAATACAACATTCATAAAGAGGTGACATTTTCTCAGATATTTATACTGTGTTACCAAGAATTTTGTATTCTTAAAGAACATTCT